TGCCCTCCTTCCCGTCCGCCCTCCCCGTGACTCTCCTCGTGGATTTCTCCCCTTTGTGTGTCTGCGTCCTCGGACAGACTCCCTGGCTCTTCGACCCATGGAATCCCTCTCGACTACGGCATCTGGACATGTTTTGGCTTCAGGCGATACCTACCGACGGACTCCTGGAAAGACCTCGCTATGACCTCTGACCTCTCTCTGTCACATCCCAAATAAACGTGGTAGCTCGGAATCTCCTGTCCTGGTCTTGTGTTCCGGTACACATTATATTGTCTCTGAATAAATATGATTTGAATATTTGAACACTGAAACACTGAAAACCATATTAATTCAAATGAAAGGAATTAAAGGTGGGTCAAATATTTATATTTTAGTTTCGATCATTCGGGCATCTTGGCACCTTATCACTTCTCTAGCAGCAGCCAGTTATTTTTGTCATGGGCAAACAAGATGGATAATTATAACTATGTATTATCTATCAGAGTCTCAGCAGCATATAATGTGAAATAATGTGCTTCATGTGACTGCAGGTAAAACACCTGCCACTGTCCTGAATCGTTATAACAACCACCACCAGCTTCTTTCCGTTGTGCTTCATGAGGCTGCAGGTAAAACACCTGCCACTGCCCTGAATGATTATAACAACCACCATCAGCTTCTTTCAGTTGTGCTTAATGCGGCTGCAGGTAAAACACCTGCCACTGCCCTGAATGATTATAACAACCACCACCAGCTTCTTTCCATCCTCAGTCACATTTAGCCATAGAATTTGTCTCTGACTGACCGCATCCTGTTATAAAATGACGATTACAGTCATACTAGCAGGTAATCAAAATATTCCCCTTTTCCACCATGTCCAATAACTGACTGAAATATTGTTTCAGATTATGTTTTACACTGTATGGTATCCCTGAAGACATTTTTCAGATTGACCCATATTGTACTTTAACAGAATTCTGTTGTGAAGAAGTAATCAAAGATTTTTTTCGGAAAACTTCCAAAAATGAATATTTTTCATTAATGGTAGGGGGAGGGGTACTAGTGGTTAGTTTACAATATCTGGCAACAACCTGTGACACTTCAAGTAATCAGTACCTGCCTGTGATCTTAGTTTCCAAACGGAAGCCCTTTAGTTACGATTAATAACAAAGGAAAATAGATGTCCTACAGTGAGCAATAGAAAGTTATTTGTTATACCTGTAAATTCATAAATTAAAAGTTTTAAATATCAAATCAGTACTTTTTCAAAAGTAGTTAGACTCACCACATTGAGCTTCAGCTCCATATTGAGAACACCTCCACTGTCTAGAACAGGCATCAGGTTTATAGAAAACACTGCAGCCCTATCTGGTGGAACAGAGATGTTGGGCCCAAAGAAAATATAGAAGTGCACAGAGAAGGTATCCAGCTCATTTCGCAGCGTTGGTCTGATGGGCCAGCACTTATTGCTGTCTGCTGTTGGGGCTAAGTAAGCGATGCTCTCCTCGGACATGACGACGGACACTTTTTCTGAACTATTCTGAATGAGGTTCGCTAAACTTGCTGCTGGCAATGTCTCAGACAAGGAGAAGCCCATGGCAGTACCAAAGGACTGAGGCATATTCAGAGCAGAGTTAGCTGAGGATCCCTTTAGAACACTGGGTTTGGAACAATCTGGAAAACAAAATACATTGGATACAGGGTGAGATGCACAGCAGTAATGCCTTTAGAATTATGCACCTTGTAGAACAATGCACCTTGCAGAATGATTATGACATGTTTATATGAATAAAGAACTCATACAGACATCCATGAAAATCCCAGCAAACATGTTGTATCTGACACGTTTTTTGTTCTACATGTAAGAGGCATTTTAATTTCCCAGTATGTGGGCTTTGCGTGTTAAACTCTTCAGATATCAAAGGTAATCTTTGCTTTTTCGAGATGTTTAAGTGTTTCTCAAGTGCTGCACTATAATAAAATTTGGAGAGAAGGAATTTCGTGAATTATATGAATGGCTTTTGCACTCTGAACCAAACAAGATAGCTAAACAGTAGAAAGATAAAAGCCCCAAAGTTTGCCAATCTGATGATGATATTAAAATTTCATAATGACCAATACATCAATCCCATCTTTCAGTCACTTATCTATTACAGGGCTGAACAATTCATCATTACAATTATTTAAAAAAAACATATATTAATTTCAAACAAACACTCATTCACAATGATCACGTATCAGAGAGTGGGTTAAAAGCATCATTAATAATTAAGATATATTACCGCTTTAGAGATTTCAGTTGTAACAGAACTAACAGTGTTACGCTATTATATGGCTGAGACAAAAATAAACCTTCTTCACACTAAATCTGAAGGTGGACCACTTGTTATTCACATTTTCATCTCCTGTGTAGCTCATTTTGTGAGTTGCTGTCCATGGCAGTGTCAACTGATATTATATTCTGTAAGATGTACAGGAACCCCAGCCCTAGCCTCACCACGCAAATTCTCCAGGCTTCCTTCCTGCTTCCTTAATTTTAATGATAGTGTCATTCATAGAGCATTTTTTTCAGATCTCAAAACAACCAGGCAGTTTTAAAAAACAGGAAACTGTACAGCAGCAACCGCAACCATTTCATTCTCCCAGGCAGAAAACCTTCCAGCACCACGACTCACTGCTGACTTAGATCATTATAATGGACAAGACTTTGATTATGTCCTTGCAGTAATATTGTGTTAATTCATCTAATAAAATTCTATAAAGACTGATTCAGATTTATTATTTTTAAGAAAAAACCAAGGACAATTAAAATCATGAATTTCACACCTCCATAACAGTTATGAGTGAAAAGACTTTCAGTGGAATATAACCGCTTTACAGGAAAATCTGAAGACAAACAGAACAATATGATATTGAGCGTAATAATAAATACATTAACTAAAATGGCAATCATTTAATATTTCATATTCCATCTATTGCGCCTATCCCAGTCAGCCTATCCCAGCCTATTCCAGGCAGTACAGGGCACAGAGACGGGGCACACCATGGATGTCATGCCAGTCCATCACCAGGCCCATGCACACACACATCTATGGACAATTATAAAATAACATTAAAATATTTGAAACCAAGAAACTGTTTGATTGAAACCAAAGTCAAACACAGTTACAAATCTTTATCCAAATATTGCATTATGTCACAAATGTATAATCAAAAATTAAAAATGAAAATCTGTACCCAACTGCAAATGATTCATCACGGATTAGCTAAGAGTGAGTAGCACTGTTGCTTCCTGAGTTGGGGGATCAAATTTCACGTCTGCTCTTTGTGTGTGGTTTCTTCCCACAGTGCAAACAAAAGCAGTTAGAGTAACTGGTATTTTGAAATTGCCAGTAAAATGGGCCTTGTGATGGACTGGCATCCCATCTGTGGTGCCTGGGATAGGCACTGGGATTCCGCATGACCCTGACCAGAATACACAGTTGGAAGATGGATGACAATAGACAAATCTTCTTGTGTACACTAGTGTTTTACAATAGACCTGGCAGGAGTTTTCTGCTGAAATTTTGTTTCCTTTAGATGAAAGAAAAATGATTTGTAGGAGATGCAGTTTTACCACCATAACAAAATTTAAGAGAGGCTACCACTCATGGGCGTAAATTATGGGGGGGGTTGTAGCCCCCCCAATAAATCAAAACCAGCTAATACAACCCCCCCAATAATCATGTTTCCCCTGTAATGGGTGGAGACCTCAACCCCCGCAATGTTCCAGCCAAAGTTACGCCCTTGCTACCACTCATCATTTTCCCCACAGCAACACATTTTGATAAAGACAGAGCAAAATCTTAAAATTGATTGTTCTCAGTGAAGCATATGTATGTTACAAAAGACACGAAATAGCAAGAATACATGAAAAGTAACAGACAATATACTTTATGTATACTGTCGGTACATAGAAAGAGAATGATAACTGCTTTTAAGCAGATTTAAGCAGTTATATGGGTGTTTTCCTGACTATACCATACCATTGACTCAGCCAAATGCAAATAGAATATTTGGATGGACCTGCAGAATTTAAATCATATAAAGGATGTACTGTATAATGCAAGAGTGAGATTTTATTTTAAAACCGCTGTACAACAGGTAGTCTGTGTGATATACCACGCAACACAGGATTAAGTTAATAAATGAAAACGTGAAATCAATGATGCAAGGAGCCCAAGGAATAAAATTTCATAAAGAGGGGTGCTTACAAGTCCTCTGACAGCCAGTTAATTTTTCATAAATTTATGATAAGAGAAGACAAAAATTGAGAAAATGCTATTGCTCTTTTTGAAAGGACTGACCTTTGACCTGGACCCCAATTCGGAAGTAGACGTTGACATTGTTTAGGTTCCTCTCCACCAGGATATAATACCACTGTTCCCAGGGGGGCAGGGGGGTTTCCAGGTCACAGGAGCTCCACTCACGGCAGTTGCGAGAGGTAGAATTATGTAGGGGGGGTGCCCTGGCTCTGACCTTCACTGTCACTGGGCACCTGTCCGTGCTCCTGTTCCTTGTGTTACAGTCCACAAGCTGCACCTTCACGCTGGAGCTGTAGTTTGGAATGAAAACTCTGACAAACAAAAAGTAAGAGATCTTTCAGACTGAGTAGGCTGGTGTTAGATAATAGTATTATACTAGAATAACAGCGGCACAATACAAGCCATGAAATGTTTGGTGGTATACCATTATTGTTACAATACATTTTAATTATGTATCATGCCTATAGGTGAAAGTGAAAATAAATAGGGTACTCTTCAAGAAATATCACTCGATCCATTAAGCAGGAAAAAGCTGATTACCAGAGCGTATCTATAAAAGCAAACGGTGTCGTTAGCAGCAGCCTCTTCTAAGGATTCACCACATACTCCACTAAACTGTCTTATTTTAATATTAATTTGCCATTCAATAATTAGCTTGTCTACTAATTGGAGGAATAAAGCATTCATGTATTTCATAAGAGCTGAATTTCACATAGGCTGAGCAAGAAAGATAGAATCTGATCAGAATTGTAAATGGACTATCACTATAAAGCCCGCTGGACTTCACTGCAATATAAAATTGCAGCCGGTATGCTGAAGATCTCTGTAATTGCCAGGGTCACCTTTTTAAAAGTGTTTTCATCATATGTCTAATATGACATTGTGGATAATAAAATAGATTCTGAGGGTGACCTTTTATTAAAATAAATCATTTTAAGGTAAATGCATTAATAAATGTGATATGTTAACCTTCTATTGGAAAGAACAATAGTGGCTTACTTGTAAAGAACAGATCTGTTGCGAACAGGGACCACCTGATCAATGAAGTATCCAGGATACAGCACAGAAATTCCAATCAGCTTCTGCACAATGAGCTGTGGCTGGAAGAGGTACTGACATTCCTCAGAGAGGCCCTGACAGTTTTGAAAAAAGGTGGAAAAATAATCATACTGTGTGAATCTTTTGTGACACAGACCAACATAAATATATAACCGACTGAATTAGATATGTACTAGCATTTAATAACACACTGCTCATACTTCTGAAGTATTATGCTACTTTGTGATGTGACACAAGTATTATTATTATTTTTTATAAAAACTGAAATTGTTTTTATATAAATACAATCATTGGGATGAAGTTATACATCTATAATAATTTACAAATATTTAAGCTATATATATATTATATTAAATAACCAAATCATACTTATCAATTATTTTTGCCTGTCAGATGACATCAGCGGTCTATAGTGAAATTAGGTATTTTGGTTATTTCTGAATATATACCTTAAAATGTTTCATAGGTTGCGTGTACATGAGTATATTATGCAGTATATATTTTCTATTTTTCTGACATATTACATGTATATATTGACATGTCATAATTCAATTTGCCCAACACAATAATACTGCCATCAAATTATAAAACATTATGTAATATTCATTGTATTGGTTCTTGGCCTATAAAATAATGAAGTGAACATAAATCAGCAGGCATCTAATAAAAAAACAATACAATGCCTGAACAAAACATCACAAAACTGTAGAAGGATGCAGCTTAGGTACCAGTAGAAGACAGTCATAATTAATGTATTACAATTAAATCATCATATAAAATGATAATATAAAATCTTTAATATAACACACCAGAGAGCTGTTACAGAATTTAACAACTTCAGTGAATTCTGCTTGGGAAAAAGCAGTCTATATTTAACACTGTAGTTAATAAAAGATGCCTGGACAGCACTGTTTCACTGATTGTTGTGACTTGAATAGTTTTTATAGATTTATAAAAAGAAAATACATCATTAATATCAATAAATTTTAAAGAAATTTAAATAAATTGATCTTTCTCAGTTTGTGAAAGATGCAATAGAATTACCTAATTAAAAACTGTATATATATTCAACAAATCACAAAATTTCTGGAATCAATTGGCCATTGGTGTAAAAGATAAAACTGAAAGTGAGTTATATAGAACTAGAAATTCATGATAATTATTATATTTTAGTAGCAAAACAATGAACACCAACATTGGCTCACCTTGAACTGTCTACAGAGACAGGCGTCTTCTGCCTGTCAGTATTTCCATCTTTGACAGACTGGAATGAGTACATTACTGGCAGAACTGGGGCCACTGTCTGTGAGGCAAACAGGCAATGCAACTAGACTAGAGTCAAGGGCTGAGGATAAAACTGAATAGTCAAAAAGTGTCAAAAGAACCACAAATAATACCCTAGACTCTAGAGCTAATTCAGAAAATTCAGAAAAAGTTCAATCCTGAAGATCCAGAATTAGATCTAGATGCAGATGCGGAAAGACCAAGCAAGAGCCCAAGAAACTAAAAACATACTGAGCAGAGTGAGATTAAACAAATATCATGATTACTGCAGGTGTGAGTGATTGCTGAGTGAGAGCACTAGGATATGAGCATAGCCATAGTGTATGACCATTCCCATAAAGTAACCTGTGAATAAAACCTTACTCCAAAACAAGCAAAATATATAAACCCCAGGCAACTAGAGCTTAAGTATTCAAAAAGTTGGACACTCTGAATTACAATCAAACAAGGCATAGATTATATCCATTTGCAGGTGGAAATTTTCATAAAGAAATTATACTCTGGAAGGTTGGATTCAAAAGCTTGTTATCCATCATGGCACAGGCAAATTACAATGCAACCTTTCACCATTCATCCCCTGCCCATTTTTATGCAGGTGCCCTTTTTCTCAGAATGATCAATCACTGTCATGTCTGGCTACAGTCCTCCCTCCAGCAAGAATTAGGGTGCTATAGATGATTCATGGCATGACTGGAATCCTAATGTCTGGAATCCTATGTCACAGTGTTATAGGTCAAAGAAATTATGGGCGCCATATTTAGAATCTAAATAGCATAATACCAGTCTTTATTTATTTGCTAATAGATAGATAGACAGACTTTATGAATCCCAAAGGGAAATTAAGGTGCAAACAATACAAATGCCCATTAGCACAATTACAAGATGACAGACAAACAGAGCAGGCTCAAATGAGACACAGAAGAAATAGCATTTCCCATCTGTTGTTTGTGCAGAGCAGTATTCGCAGGATAATGGCACAGCTGGTGTAGGGATACAGGGATACCTTGAAGTCTTCTTACGAGGCTCCTAAATTGAACTATAAACAGCTTGTGTTCCAATTTATTGAAGATATAATAATACTTACAACTGAGAATACACTGAAGATGGGACAACTGAACATTTAAAAATGCTTAAGCTGAGTTCAGGAGCATATACCTCTATCGGCTGGTAAGCCCGCCTCTTAAATAATCCAAGTCAGTCCCAAAAGGGAAACTATTAAAGATACATTTTTGGCTTTTAAATCCAGTTCTAAATGCATTGATTGTATTTTAGGCCCAGCATTTGTACAACTGCACTACTAAAATGACAGTGGTAGCACAAATAATGATGATCCTCATGATAATAATATATTGTAATTGGTGAGAGAGTTATGTACGTGCCCTCATTAAGTCAATATCACCAGTGGTACTATTTCCAATGACTGGTTTGTCTTAATCTGCCCTTTAAACATTTCAGGAAAATTTACAGGACACAAAGAAAGAAGATAAAACATGAGAGAGAAGGCCAGTGGTGTGGAGAAGCACAAGGTGTCCCACAGGGATCAGTTTTAGGTCCTGTTCTCTGCCAATGACACACAATTATATGTGAGTGCTGACTCAATCACCTCCCGGCCACCTTTTTCACTAATTGACTGCCTTTATGAAGACCTTGAATATCTTGCAACTTAGTTCTGATAAAAAGAAATTCAAAATTCTTCTAGCTGGTTCAAATTGAGTGATTTTTGCTCTGTCTGACTTGAAAATGTATGCAAATTAGGTCCTAGTACAACACTCAACAACAGTCCATAATTTGCTGATAATAGGTTAGTTTTATCATGCTGTTACTAACGGAACAAGCTTTGGCATAGGAGATATGGACCAGAGATGGATGATATGACTACCTCATGTTGCAAAGATGTATCTTGTAAATCTGTGTCAGGGCAGCTTGCAGGTTCTTATTTATTGCAGCTAAGTCAGAAAGTAGCCCTGGTTCTGCCTATTCTATAGTCCCATATCTTTGCTGCTAACAATCACTGTGTAATATTGAAGGCTGATAAAATAAAAAAGATACGGCCTGTTATATATAGGCAGGAGATCCAATCCACTTCTTCTTGAATAAGTGTGTCACTCTCACCTCTCTGTATTGGTAATAGTTCTGTTCCATCTGAATGAAGCACCTCAAAATTAAGGCAATGTTGTCAAATATTTAAATTGGAGCTATGTTTGGCTACAGAAATTCTGGGCAATGGTAGTCCAGTTGTCCTTGTTTGTAGTTAGTTTTGTAGTCATGTCCTGTTCCTCCTAGTGTTTGAATCTTGAGGCAGTGTGATTGGTTATTACCTTCCCCTGTTCCTAGATAATAACAACCCTGGCCTGTCCCTCATCATACCCTAGTTATCTGTATATTGTGCCTACCCTTACTCTGCTCCTCAGTGGGTGATTGTGCCTGCTTCTGGTTCCAATGTGTGTTTATATCTGCTTGGTGTTTGTCAGTGTTGCCCATGTTCCTGTTTACTTAAGTGTTAGGTTTACCCCCCATTTACACTTTATACCCTACCCACTTTAAACCCATTTGTCTGTAAGCCGCACCGTGGACCATCCTTCCTTCATGCCCTGCCATAACAGACCATGGCATAGGACAGAGACAAATTGAAGATATTGGCAAATACTGTGGATATCTGGTTAGCGTAGTACCTGATAACATGTCCGGGTATTCAGCTGGGCCTGTTCACACCAGGAAGCTTTGATCTTATATTGTGAATGCATAATTGTTTGTTTTTGGTGGCTTTTTCTTTATATGGTCTCTCTTGCATTTATCAAAGTGAAAAAAGAAGGTGCTCAGCTCCTTTTTTTTAGCAAAATTTCATTGCTTGGCAGGTGGGCATCCCTGCTTATGAAATCAGTAATGGACTGGTACCTTGCCAAATGCATCAAGGGTTGTCACTCTTGAAGTGGTCCTTGACCTGTTCCCTTAATACTTTTGATGCCTCTTGTCAGGTTGGACATTGTGGCACTGTGCACTTCAGTGTCTCCAGTGCTGAAGGCTGCATTGCCAGCTCTCAGCATATTCTGGACCTCATTAGTAATCCAAGGTTTCTGGTTGGGAAGCACTGAAATGGGTTTTTCCCCTCCTCGTCTTTCATGCTATGCCTTTTCTCTCTCAATTCCTTTTCACACTGCTGTGATCTGTTGGATCGAAAATTACCACAATCTGGTGGAATGAGGAAAAAATCGGATTGACCAACAGACAAGAATAGGGACTTGGCTTTCTGGGAATTGTGAAGCTTATAGTCTGTGTAATGCTGTGTGTTTTACTTTTGACTGCATCTGGAAGCTTGTAGGTGATGGTGGTCTTTTTCTTTGGGAACACAGGTTTCCTGGGTGTGTTAATGAGTGGATAGGGAATATACAATTACAATTGTTTTTTCTTTTATTTCTATAGTATAGGTTTTGTTTTCAGGTAGTACATTTTTTTTTACTGTTGACTATAGCATCCCAGACAATTGGCTACTTACCTCTAGAAATAAAACATGTATTGTGGTAAATTGCACTGCGATTATGTTTAGTGAGATTTGGTACAGGTGGGGGGAAAGTATCTCACATCATATGTTATGTCCCTCTCATAGACCACACTGGAGGAGCTCCACAAAAGGATTTGTAATTGACCCCCACCAGTGTCCTTTGTCTTGGATCCTTACAGTGCTATGAACCAAGGTTCATAACACTACTTAAATTAAAATGATTCATATACAAGTATGACTGCCTGACCCATAACCTATTTATCGGTTCACAGATGCTAAATAACAATATAATGGGCAATGTGAATATTGTTGCAGGCACAAAAAAAAACAAAAAACTGTGCGTCCTGAAAATGAACATTACCAACCTTAACAGAAATTTTCCCATCATCCTTTGGTAAATGTGCAGCCAGAAACCAGTCTCCTGGAAGAGGACTAGTAACATTAAAGACTCCAGTTGTTCGATTGGGCAGCGTCCATGTCAATGTGACTGCAAAGGAGCCAGGAATGATGGTGTCACGAGGGAATCGGGTGTGCAGAGGGTTGATCACAGGTGGGGCTCCAGATCTGAAATACCTATATGCAAGACAAAGAGACATAAAACTCACACATCTGCAAAAATGCAGCAGGTAAAGGTGGAAAAACAACATGGACACGCAAGTCTGTCGGAACTATATATGTCAACAAGAATATGGTATTGTGGATCTGTTCACTGCTTTTAAATGAAACAAACAATAACCAGTAAGTAAACAATTCCTATTATGTAGGGCAATGGGAGTTTCTAGATCTGTGATAATTTGCACCCCTTCCAGTTGCCCTGTACTGCCTGGGATGAGCTCCAGGCTCATCATAACCCACTTCTGAATAAGCATCATGGAAAATATTAGATATTTCGGGTTCCAACCAAACAGTAAAGAGTTTCTGGAAAGCTACTTCAAAATCTGCAAAATTGAAAATCCTTCCTAATTCTTCAGTATGAGAACTTAAGAAATCGTGAAAACAGGGAATATTACATCATTTTCAGAAAAAGTTTTAAGTGGGTTATAAGTAAAAGCAACAGTATGGTGACTGTAATCTACATCTAGGCATCTGTCAATAACAAAAAATAAAATTTTAAGAAGGGCCAGTGTTCTTTCATAATAATTCAGCAGCTGAAATAATCCATGCTGCAGAGTAAGACCTTCTGACTTGTGATTTCCTGAAGGAGATGTGATATAAACATTTAAACAGCAGGTCAAGGTGTTCCAAGTTGATAACATCATAGTATGAGTTTTCTCCACATTTATTGCCGCTTAACATTCCTTGAGGGGCAGATATAAAGGTACAAATGCGTGCTCAAAAAGCAGATGCTCCACTGGCAAATGGTCTCCGGCTCTCCACCATCCCCCTTCTATACCTGTATTTTGATTTATTTCCACCTTTTTTTCTATAAATATACTACACCTCCCAGAGCCTGGATATTTCAAAGACCATTTAATCATGTACAATGCCTGCCCTTGCTGTGCATCCTTCTAAGCAATAGTAGCTTTCAGAGGTGGAAAGTTCAGGTCCAAAAAGTGCAAATCCAGACCAAAGTTTTGTTTCAACCAACCAGTTGAGCGGTTTGGACTTGCACTTTTTGGACCAGTACTTTCCCCCTCTGGTAGCTTTTGTCTGGTTTCTCATTCTTTACAAACAATTATTAGCTAGGAGACTGGTCCTGTGAAGATTTGTATCATGGAAGCACAAATAAATAATTAATGCTATTCCATTTATTTATGAAATTACTCCAAACAAATGTTTTACTTCTCTTCAACACTTGACAGCTACAGAAACTGTACATTACCAAACTGGTAATGGTTCCTTTCCATGCATCATATGCTTCTGTTCCATATCCCAGCCAGAGAGAACTCAACCTTTTTGATTTTTAAAAAGATACTTGTTTTATTTAACTTTATTGCACTAAAAACCATGAGACAATATTTAAACTGGCTACTGATTCTTCAACATGGAATTTGATACACTTACAGATTTTGAAATTGCTTTATGATTGAAAACTATTATCTTTAAATTCTTCATTCCTATGCCGAAGCAACTACATGAGTTTTCAGTAACAAACCTAAATGGAATGTGATACTGCTTTTTGCTTCTTATGGACACCCTTTGAGGGAATGTGATACTTATTGGGCAGGATAGCCCCCTGCCCAGTCATGGTCAACTGATGAATGTTGTGGAGGTGTATTAAACCGATAATTCCCTCTTCTATTCAAATACTGTAGTGGAGGGACAAAGTACATGAGGTATCCCTTGTACAGTAATTTATAGTAATAGCTAGGGGTATAAATCACAGCTTTCCTCGCGATACGATACAATATAGATTCCTTAAGCCAACGGTTCGATTTTTTTTGATACCTCAGAAATTCCCATGATACGATACGATACGTTTCGATTTATTTCGATACTGGGGATAGTAGTCGAAATGATGAAATTTCACACAAGCCTTTACATTTCAATGAATTAAAAAAAGCAAATATAATTAGCATTTTAT